ACCTATGCACACACTCTACCTATGTGCATAAACTGCAAAGAGGCACACACTGCAGATAGCACACAATGTGCAGCTTATAAAGCTACACTAAACACGCAAACAAACCTAGAATGCTAGACAACCTAAGGATCCTATAAGTAAATCTAAATAAGAGCGCACAAGCAATAGAGAGCGCCTTGCAACTTGTAGTAGAACTAGTAATAGACCTTGTACTAGTACAAGAGCCTTAGCTTATTCCTGCTAGATAATCTCCTTTAGATTACTTAGACACACACTCTATAAATTACCCCTCCTTTACATAAATCCTTCCTTTGTTACAAGATTATAGCATAAGACTACGTGTTTTAGTCTACTCTGCACGCACTATAAAAGCACAACTAGTCCTAATCCTAACTTCCTAGCTATTACAGTTAAGAGCTCTAGAACAACCTTCTCTATTTACAATGTCTACAACTAGCTAGACACACAAGGCATTACTACAATAGAAAGAAAGCTCCTTAGCACCTCTGTCTTGCCCTCAGTAATCCTGCTTAACAACTTTAATATTAACCACCTATGGTAGGACTCTATAGTGTCTACTATAACTCTAAGAGCAACTAGTTTTATTACTTAGCTAGAAGAACAAGACCTTGAACTACTAAACAGTCCTGGCACAGGCACTTTCTTTAGCCCTAACATAAATAGAGAGAGTGTCCTATGTAAAGTTATAAGACTTTATTCTTATAATCTTTCTCTAGCGTATTTCCTTCTTAGATATAGCGCTATGCTTACCTAAGCATTGTTATTGTAATCTCTAAGAAGAGAGGATTAGAATAGTGTGCTTACAAAGCCTGTATCTCCTCTTGTTCTTAAGATATGCTGTTCTCTATTTTTAGTAACTAGAAATGTTCTAGACCCTCTAATTACAAATAGAGTAGTCTATTCTGTAAGATGCTGACGTATACAATTACGTATGCACCTATGTAATCTTGCTTGCATATGCAGCAACACTAAGCATAGATTACAAAGTAGACCTACCTAGAGGAGTCTAGAACATTCTGCTTAGAAATACAGACAGAGGAGAGGAAGCATAAATACCTCTAGCTCTCCCCCCTCTGTTCGCTCTGTACCTAGCCTAGGAATCTCTACCTAGTATCTAATATAATAACTTGTCTATTATATTACATAACCCTACCTTACCTCTATTAGGCTATACGCTTCCTATTTAGACAAAGCTAGTCTAGATATGTCTAGGTCCTTCTAGACTAGGAAGAAAGTAGTCTAGTCCTTCCCCTACTTTCTTTACATCCTAGACCTAACCTTTGCTACAACATAGCTAGCAAACCTTATAGAAGACTAGCAAACGCTAGGTAGAATTAGCTCTAACCACCTAGGCATCTTATTTATAATAAGGACGCCTAGAACACAGTAACTTAACAAACCTGCTCCTAGGTTTAACACTAAGAAAGCAAACTAGAACCTATTTAGCAAAGTGCTAGCAAAGGAGATAGTAAACAGCTCTGCTCTTAGCAACGCAAGCACTCTAAACTACTCTACAAGCAGATCTCTAGCACTTCTCTAAGGAGATAATCAGGACCTAGAAGAGCAGCTAGAAACACTAGGGAAAGAGCTTACTATAGCTATAACTAAAGCAGCTAAGGCAGCAATTCCACAATGGTCTACCACTGCAAAAAGCAAGCCCTAGTGGAATTAAGACCTTAAAGCACTTAGGACAAGCATGCTCAGCAAACAACGCCAACTGCAGAGAGAACTCGCTGTTAGCCTAACAAGTGCCTACACCTAGAAAAGAGAATATCTAATAGCTAGAAACAGCTATCTACAGGCTATTAAAATAGCTAAACGCGACTATTAGAACCAATTCCTAGAGAGAGAGGACCCTAAATTAATCTTTAAAGCTATAGCTTATACTAGAACTACTTATAGCTAGAATATACCTGCTATCTAAGGCCTAAGGGGAATAGAGGAATCTTTTTAAGGCAAATGCTTAGCACTAAGAGAAACTCTCTTCTCTAGCCCTCCTGCCTCTAGGCCTATAGAGTGGGACAACTACTAACCAAGCAACTAGGAATAGCCTAATCTTACTATAGAAGAGCTAGAATACGCTTGCTCAGCACAAATCCAAAGCAGCTCTCCAGGACTAGACGCCCCAACACAGGAGATTATTACTACAGCATATAAAGCACAGACAGAAATATTCTTTTATGTTTTCTCTACTTTGTTTAACTACAGCTACTACCTACAGGAATAGAAGAAAGTAACAGGAATTATCCTAAAAAAGCTAAACAAGCCTAATTACGCTATACCTAAAGCCTATAGAGTAATTGCCTTGCTTAGCTGCCTAGGCAAGGTTGTAGAAAGAGTAGTAGCAAAATGCCTTAGAACTCTTGCAGAAACAACAGCTCTTCTTTACCCCTTATAACTAGGAGGAAGAGTACAAAAATCTGCAATAGACGCATCTATACTGCTGCTAAACCAGGTCCAAGAGCAAAGAAAACTGAAACACACAACCTCTACAGTATTCCTAGATATTAAAGGTGCCTTTAACCACGTTGCTCTAAACTAGCTACTTACTATATTACAATAGCTACAGCTACCTTGCAACTTAATAGCATAGGTTTAATTATTCCTATCTAAGTGCTAGCTAAGACTATCCTTTAATAGAGAAATAGAAGGCTTTAGCAGCATTACAGCAGGAATTCTACAAGGCAGCCCTGTCTTACTAATCCTGTTTCTAATATATATTAGACCTCTGTTTTAATATATTACAAACTACTCCCTATCCTACCTAGAAAACCTAGCAATTACAGCATTATCTACTAGCCTAAAGAAGAATATCCGCATGCTAGAAAGAGATATAGCAAGCCTATTTGCTAAAGGGGCAAGCTGTGCTATACAATTTAATGCAGCAAAGACAGAGCTTGTTCACTTTACAATAAGTAATAAAGCTATTAGCTCTATACTTACCCTGCCAGACAGGTCTACTATAGAGCCTAAAAAGATAGTAAAGTGGCTAGGAATCTACTTTAACAATGCACTCTCCTTTAAAGAACACGTAGCTACAAGGATTAGCTAAGCAAGAAATGCTTTCTACAGAATGTGCAGACTTGCAAATAGCAATAGAGGCCTCCCTCCTAGCGCTATTGGACAGCTATACTTAGCATGCGTTTCTAGCATCGCAGATTATGGTTGCTAGGTCTTCTAGAAACAACAAGCAGGAATAACAAAGCAACTCTAAGGACTACAGAATCTTGCCCTAAGAAAAATCCTAGGAACCTTTAGGACCTCTCCTATAGCACTACAGGAGACAGAAGCAGCACTTCCTCCCCCTGCTATAAGACTAAATACTGCTCTAAGAAAGTACGCCTTTAGAGCTAGAAAGCTACCCAAAGACTACCCTATTTACATTATAATTAAGACTCTAAAAGCTACTCTATAGTTATAAAGAGAAGACTTAGAGTCTAGCACAGAATAAGAGAACGAAGCTGCTCTCCTAAGGCTAAGAATAGGCCTACCTACTTAGCTTATGTGAATTATATAATTAACACAAAACTCTACTCCTAGCACAGAAGAAGAAGAACTACAGGACTACTATTTCTGCCCCTAGAACAAGACTATATTATACACAGCAGAGATCTCTAAACTCTCTAAAGAAGAAGAAGTAGAGCAACACAAAACGCAAATGCTACAGAGACTAGGGGACAACCTACTTGCTATCTACACAGACGCCTCTTCTATTAAGAAAGGCACAGGAATAGGAATAGGAGTTACTGCTCTAGACTATAAACAGCAGGCTAAGGAGATCTACTCTACTAAATATAATATTAGCAAAGGCTAGATTGTATACAATAGAGAGCTAGAAGGCATAACAAGAGCCTTTAAGTTTGCAACTTCTACAGCTACAGCAGGACAAGAGATCTAAGTCTTTGCAGACAACTAGGCAGCTATTCTAAGGCTAAAGACCCCTTCTAATAACCCTAGATAAGCTTAGCAAATCTGCTACACAAAGGCAGCAAAGGCAATTCACAGCAAAGGCGCAATAGTTAGCCTACACTAGACCCTAGGACACCTAGATAT